GCTGAGATTGCTCAGGAACAGTTTGAACCACAGACTTTTAGACTGAATTGTATTTTTGTGAGACCAGTTTTGTGTATTAAAAAAGAAAAGGGGGGAACAACTCTCAAGCCCTTCTTCGATCTGATAGAGAAGCAACAATTTCTAACTGATGTCAGCTGGTTTAGAGGAGATGGATGTATATCAAGTCATCTATGCTAGAGAAGCAGTGCTATCCATCCCTCTCCTTTCCAGTAGCTTTTTCTTTCTGTACCTTCACAGTATGTGAAGCACGTAAGTTTGCACAATCAAAATGTATTTTGGGGTCTTTCTGTATATGCTTTTAGTTCTTTGTGTTTAAATTTTGAATAGAAGGACACTATTGTACATGGCTGTACAAGTTTTAAAATAAGGACTTAATATTAAAAAAAAAAAAGAAAGTATTTTGGTTAGCAAAGCATACCAAAATTGCATAATACCCAAAAGTCTTTCAAATGTGAACACGTAAACCTTGTTTGAACGATTTGCTGCTGACACACTCATGGGCAAGTTACGAAGTCATTTGCATGTACCAGCCTGCAGTTTCCAGTTCGTGTGTCCAAGAAGTTGTCGTAGCTGTGTTCAGTAAGAATAATGTTGTTCTAAATATTAATTATTGCCTGTAGATAGTTTACATACTGTTTGTTTTAAACAGCGGTTTTAGTGAAGAAGTCCTGTATCATACCTCAGGCACTGCCCCAACCACACCAGCAAGCCCTTTGCTGATTAATGCTGGAGTTACTTGGTTATCTCTACAGTGGACTAAACCCTCAGGAACACCATCAGATGAAGGAATCTCGTATATATTAGAGATGGAGGATGAGAACTCAGTAAGTGTAGCATACTTCTTCTCCATTAGAAGAGAGACTGTAATGATGCACGGTTACATTTAAGTGTAACATTTATTATTTGTGCTAGAGCATTCTACAAGGACTGTTTTAAGGTGTATCAGTGATGTTTCATAAAGTTAAATATGTTGAAATGGTCAAAAAGTTCTTCACTTGTTTTCCTATCTTACCAAAGATAAACTATCACTTTACATGCTATTTAGTCTTATGTACTGGCTTGGGAAAAAATGAATTAAAAAAAAAAACTTATCTTTGCTGTGACCAAGCCACATAGCTTTATCATTTATTATGGCAGTAATCTTTATTAGTCTAATTAAATCGTAATCCTGCAAAGGCTTTTCCAATGCTTTTAACTCTGTGAATGTGACTGAATATGTGAGTAAACGTTAAGTCTTCCAAGAGCTGGAACAAAGTCCTTGCAACATGAAGTGTGGTCCCTTCAGATGTCCTTTCAGTTCTTCTACCTTAGTCATTTTAGTCAGCCCTGCTTTACCATCAAAATTGCTTAGTATCATTTCTGTTGGCAGTAGATACATTTTTCTTTAACCCTTCTTTTCTCCTCTTCTGAATTGGAATTGCATGAGAATTGCTGGTTATGATTTTTTTCCACTATTTTTATACTTTGTTTCCTGCACAGCTTTCCACATTCTAGAAGTAACATATCATATGTCTGCAAAATGAAGTTAGACTTCTTACTTTGCAGAGAGGCACAGTAATTACTGCCCAAAGCACAGGGGTTTTGCTGTTGCTGTTGTTTGTTAAAATGATGTTACACACTCTCGTCTATAAGTATAACATTTCAAGTAATCATATTTAATTCTGCAGGGATATGGTTTCAAGCCAAAATATGATGGTGATGATCTTACCTACATAGTGAAGAATCTGAGGCGTAGTACGAAGTACAAGTTTAGGGTAAGATTTTTCCCATATTTTATGTTTTATTTGTGAAAGAATAGCTTGAAATTCTGACTCAGAACCGGGAGAGGGCTTATCTTAAAGAAAAGCAAATTTGATGCCAGTGCCTCTTATATTCAGCCCCTTAAGGCGGTAGCAGCTGAACACCTGCTCCATTAGCCATGTCTGTAGCAGGAATGGGAACCTTTGCTTCGAAAGGGCAGAGCACAATTGTAGGCATCTTGAAATGCATCATTCCAGCTAGTGACTCAGTGATCTTAACAGTTGTGCGTTGCGTTGCATTTTGTTTTTCTTTCAGTTTGTTTCTGGGTCGCTAATATGTGAGTAATACTGCTTGGTATAGTCTATGAGTAGACTCTAAACGCATGCAAAAGTGCTGGGGTCCAGAAGCCACAGTCAGCATTACCATAGCACTGATACCCAAGCCACTAAAACATTCAGGTCACTGAGGTGCTGAACCCGCTCTGGGAAGCCCTAGGGGTCTGAAATCACCAGCTCAGGATCAAGCTACTCTGGAACAGTCACGAGGATTTTGGAACAAAACTGAAGTTTATTATTCAAAATTAAAAATACTCATTTTTAATTCAATCTGTAAACAGAAGTCTCCATTCATCTCCACATGAGATATAAAGGAGAAACAAATACTGTTAATTAGATCTTTATTTTTTATTAGATGAGGAAAGACTTAATTAGTAGTAATACTCCTTAAAGCTTTTGAAGGAAGCTTTGTAACCATCGGAAAACGTATTGTAATCCATAAATGCTAACTGTGCCTGCTTAACTTCATTTTTCAAGAGCACAAAGACAACCAGATAGCTGTTAATCCTGTAAAGGGTATTGGGAGATACTGTATCTGCAAAACCAGTTAGTTCACATTTCCTCTTCTCAGTCTGTCCTGACATTACAGCAACCAGATGAATTCTGCAGGATTTTTAAACAAATTTAAAAGCCACGTGAAACATAATTGATTTTTACATAATTGCAATTTCAGCTGAATTGACCCTTCCTCCTTTTTTTTTTTTTTTTTTTTTAGAACCGTAGAGCAGTCTGGGTTGGGAGGGAGCCCTGTGGATCATCCGGGCCAGTCCTCTGTTGGAAGCAGGGCCTTAGATGAGGCCGTTCAGCCAGGCTGAGACTCCAGTGTTTCCAGCAGGGGAGCTCCCACCAGTGCTCTGCCATTTTTTCTCTTCTCATGGGGACAAATATTTAGACCCAGGCAGATTTTTTCCAAATGCAACTTGTGACCCCGGCGTCTTGTCCCTTCCATAACTACCTGCCAAGGATTACATCTCCCTCCCAAGCTCTCTCCTCTCGGGACAGAACAAACCCAAGTCCTTCAGCCTTTCCACAGATGTCAAGTTCTCCAACCCGCTCAGCATCTTCTTGTCTCTCTGCTGGACTAGCCATTTTTGCAGTGTCTCCCTTGAAATTGGAGGGGCTCTTTTCTTTTGTTAATGCTAGTTATTCCTATAATTATGTTTTCTAATCTCTAAGTGTATTTAAATAGTCTTAAAATTTTAAATATAATGTTTTAGAAGTATAAGAGGAGTTCTTAATTTATCCTAATTACTCAGATTTTTTTTTAGCAGCTGATAAACCATCACTTTTTCCTCCTTAATTAAACAATATTTTGACTTGAAGGGGAAGTGAAATACAACTAAATATTTTAATACTTCTAAGTTCCCTCAGTGAAATCTGTGGAATTTTTCTGATACCCAAATTGCTATTCATTTATTGCTGTTAGATGAACACTTACACCATAGTGTAATTAGTAAGAGCATCCAATAAATGGTTTTCTGGTGCTGAGATGGCTAATTTAAAGATTTAGCTTTTACCACTGTTTCTTCCAGATTAAAAAAAAAAAGGAAAGAAAGAAAGGAAAAAGGAAACTATAATACAGTTAATAAATATTTTATTATGATGTCAGGTCAAGTTTAAATCTGAAAGAAAACAGTAACTTATTTTGTCATTTGTTCATGAGAGTTGAAGGAAACGCTGACATAATATTATGGTTTGAAAGTTCCCACTTTGTGATACGTGTTTTTTTCCATCTTTATGGTTTTCATGCTTTTATATATTTTTTCCTGACCCTTGTGTTTCATTATAGATAAACTATATAACTCCAGTAAAAGAACTATTTCTTAGTCCTGATTACTGAGCATCTCAGGTCTTTTCAAAAATTTCTCATACTTGTGACTTAAGATAATTCATGAGATATTGTGCAGCCCGAGATTTCATTTATGTCATTGAGATCCACAGATCTTGAGTACCTTTTACAGTCAGGCTGGCTTATGTGTGCAAATAAGGATATAGGAGCCTAATTTTAGACACCAACACTTGAAAGTCTGGAGAATATGGGGGTTCTGTGTTTTTTTGCAACTTCACAGTTGGTTTTATCGTTTCATCTTTTAAAGGACTAACATTTTTTTTTTGCTGGCAATTCACAGCCATAGTGTAATTCAGTTTTTAACTTCAGTAAAGCATTTGACTAACTATGGGACCAAGAATGAAGGTATATGATAATTTTATTTCTTTTGTTTTATTTTCAGTCTCTCTGGCTACACATACATCTAAGTTTTGTCTTATTGTCAGCAAGAAATAGCAAACCAGTAGTGAACATGTGTTATCTGTTTATATATATATATATATATTTTTTTTTAATGTATTTACAGGTCATTGCCTATAACTCAGAAGGGAAGAGCTGTCCAAGTGAGGCAGTAGAGTATGTTACTTGCCCAGACAAGCCTGGAGTTCCTTCAAAGCCCTCAGTGAAGGGAAAAATTCACGCACAGAGTTTTAAAATAGTTTGGGGTAAGGTTACTATCCAGACCTGTACAGATAGTTCACTGTATTTTATATGTGGTATGAAGAAGGCAGGATTTTGCATGAGTATTTTGCTCTCAACTCTACCAAAAGGATCATAATGGCTCAGTTGAGTAAAATATTGACCCAAAATGTTTCGAGTGACAATGTGATAGTGTAATTAACATGGGAAGAATAATATATATGTTATAGTAGGTACTGTTACTGCAGGGGCTGCAATAATTTTTTTTAAATAGCAGTGTTAATTTATGTGCTAAGTTTTTCTGCCATAAAAATCAGAGGCCACAATGCTCTGCTTTATCAAGAGCTGCTCCAAGTTCAACCTGTTTAACCTATTTCTATCTCAAAATATTTGAAGGTTTGTGGAATTCTGTCCTTAAATCATTTTGAAATACACTTGCTTGTAAATTGGTGGGGTAAGAATCTTTTCCTATGCGAATTACGGTGCCATGAGGATCAGTGTCAGCAAAACCAAAATCACATTGCCTTCCATGCCTTCTCCTTGCTTCAGAGTAACTGAGGTGGTGGCCACAGCATCTCCCAGGCGCTGGATTCACTACCACATTTCCAATGACAGATTATGCAAGGGTCATGATCCAGCAGATTTGGATAGTGGGGCACTTGAAGGGTTTTTTGCTTCCCTAAATGAGCACCCATGCCCAATGGTGTCAGCTGTGCCTTTTGCAAATTCTTCCAGATAGCTACAAGGACTTTTAATTTGCTTTGCTTATTTGAAACTTGCTCTTTTTTGACAGATCCACCAAAAGACAATGGAGGAGCAGCAATAAATACGTATGTTGTGGAAATGTCTGAAGGCTTAAATGGTGAGTTTTAAGTCTATGCGTTCACATTGAGCTATATGTTCTTTTTTGTGTGCCTTCAGTTGTAAGTTATATGGGAGAAGTAAAATATTTATTATGATAATCAATGTCAAGCAGGGGATTGTGATGATTAAAAACATAGCAGTATTGATATTTGTGTCCTGGAACTTCTGTTTCTTTGGCTTAGAAAATGCCATAAAACTCACGAAAGGGATACTGCAGGTTTAACTTGTTGCTTAGAAGTTTTGGAAGTCAAATGACATTTTTCTGTTCTGAAATAAACTTAGGGCAGCTCAGATAGCCACACAGCGTGGCTGGGTTTGTGACAGAGATGGATGGAACATTAGTGCTGTAGTTATCAGCATTAAATGAGGACAGTGGTGCAGCTAGGATAAATATTTCTGCTATGTTTTCTGTCCTTTCACGCACAAGTGAAATAATAACAATATTTCGAAATCAGCCATAGAGCTGTACAGGTCAATTATTTGAAAATCTAGACCTTTTAAGTACCCATCTTGAATTAAGGAACGATCCTGTTGAGATTGAAAGCATAGACTTTTCCAGTTCTCTGTCAGGCTAAGCACACTATCCCCAAGTTATAAAGGCAGCCCTGTGATTTGCCTGAATCTTTGATAATGATCAAGTGAGTTATACATATGGTTAGTTCCTAATGCTCTGAAGTTCTAGGATGCATTGAATTTTTGAGCAACTTAAGAGCCCGGTTTTCCACTTTAAGCTCTTAGAGAGAATGAATCCTAAAGAGGTTCTGAATTAAGAGTTAGACTGAATTATAGAGAAGAAAATCATTGTTTCAGGTGCTGCTGAGACATTCAGGAATATAGGATCGAGCTTTATCAATTGCAGATTGTAGTCACCATGTGCAAAATGAATGTATGCTATTAAATGTTTCTTTTACATGGAAATTTTTGCTTACGTATTTTGCCTATTTATTTGGTTATGATATTTACAGCACTTGCTGGCCCAGTAATAAATACTTTGTTATTCTCTCTTGGTCAGTGTGAAAACCAAATAAGGGAGATACTTCACTTCCAGACATGTACACAAATTTGTCTAGGAAACAATGTGTTAATTAAACCTTTTCCAGGAAACTCCAAGCAAGCCTAAATTTTTTTTTGACGGATGTCAGGCCCACACTTGTTCAGTGAAGCTAGGATACCTGCTGGTGCTGAAATGTGGAAAATTACACCTTGGCTCATTGTATACTTTACTTTTTAACCTTTCAGGAAGCAGATGGGATGTAATATACAGTGGAGCTGCCAGGGAACACTTGTGTGACCGACTAAATCCTGGTTGTTCCTATCGCTTGCGTGTATACTGCATTGGAGAAGGAGGACAGAGCACGGTAATATGAGCTATTTTTTCAATTGTTATTAAATTAAACTTCTCCAGCATTAAGAAGACCTGGTCCAGCAGTTAGTAACAGGTACTGTCAGAGGAGTAGTTGTGCAGATGTGCCTAAGAAAATAACCAGAATAAGCCCTTCAAAAAAGTTCCGGTATGGATGCACAGGGTTTCAAGTTTCTGGCCATATCTTAAAATAATAAACATGAACATTCTCTGCTCATGCTATATTTTACAGAAACAAACACTGTGTGTCTTTCTTGTAAAACACGGTGATAGAATGGCCTTTCTCAAGCCTGTAGAGTCCCAGGACAAGGCAGCAGTGCAAGCTGCATGTTTGCCATGTGGTCAGTGTAGCACCCTTGTCTGAACAACAGAGTTCACCTGGTAGGGGGGGTGGGAGCATTTCCTCGAGCTGACAGGGTTGTGCTCTGTCCCCTCCACTATTTTTGTCAGCCACTATCAAGCTGTTCACTGCTTTTCAGCATCCCCTCATCATTTGCTTCCTCACATACACATTTTACATACATGCACCCTTTCCCCTCACTTCTGTGGCCTTTTCAACCTCCAGCCCCAATATGTCGTGCTTTGTCTAGCAGTCAGCCCTGGCTGTGTCCAGATTTCCAGCAGGGCTTCCATGGAAGCTAATCCCCTGTATCCCTGGTTCAGATTTTATACAGATTTTCCCTTGGTATTTCACCTTCGTGTGTTCTCCATTGCCATAGAAGTCTCCTGTGAAAATAGCTGTGTCCACAGCCACCTCATTGTAAGACCAAATCTGGATTCCTCCAGTGTTGGCTCAGCTCTGTGCTGCCCCTCTTGCTGCAGTTCAGTACCCTTGTTGTGCAGGGGAAGAGGGAATACAGTGTATTTAGCATCTTCTGATCCACATGTGTCTCCAGAGATTCTGCTTTTTGTGTAAGATCTGGCCTCAGTGCACCAGTAATTCCAGAGTAGATGAAAAGCAGCCCATCTTCCAGTCCCCTGTTACCTGAGCAAGTGTAGAAAGCAATTGGGAAACGATGCTCTTCGGGATAGTTTCTGTGCTGAACATTTTGCCCTACCAGCTTCATCTGCTGTGTATTACTGCACAGTTGGAAGTTTGTTAAGTCTTACTAAGTGATGAAAAAGTCCAAATAATATTTTTATCATTTTTGATTACCATTTTTGCCCATATATGTTTTTTAAAAGGTTTCTGCACAGAAAGAAGTGTGTGTTTTCCCATGGGAAAAATAAAATGAGTTTGTATGAACGTGTTGTGCTTCTGATGTCTATGCTAGGTTTTGTACTGGTACATAACTTCTATTTTTAATTCTATATCTTATATGTGTGGAAAAACACAAAAGCAAAGATCATTTTGGAATATCTTGTGATCGCTTTAGTGTGTTTTGTGTAAGTATTCTGATAATACACACCAGGTCACTTAAGTGACTTCACCTATTTGAGGCCGTGTTCAAAAAATGGAAGATCTGCCTCAAGTATTTGCTTCTGTTTGTGAGATAGTTGGCCGAGCTTGTTAAATGACTTAGTCTTTCTTTTCCTTTGCAGGCATCTGATTCTTTACTAGTGCAGACTCCAGCAGTGGTTCCTGGTCCGTGCCAGCCTCCCAGGCTACAGGGCAGACCAAGAGCAAGGGAAATTCAGCTGCGCTGGGGTAACTGTAGTATGAGTGTTAGTGAGTACAAGGTATCAAAATGCATTAGGTGCTAAAATTAATCTTTTTTATTCTTCCTTCTTTCTTATTTTTTAGGACCTCCTCAGGTGGATGGCGGTTCACCCATTACCTGTTACGGCCTGGAAATGTTCCAGGCGGAAAGCGAGGAGCACAGGGAGGTTTACCAAGGCGCGGATGTGGAATGCACCGTGAGCAGCTTGCTGCCCGGGAGGGTGTACAGCTTCAGGCTGCGCGCCGCCAACAAGGCCGGGGTGAGGAGGCCCGGGGACACGAGCTGCAGACATTGCAGCCACCGTGCAGCACCTTGTCCTTTGAAAGAAGCATTTCTTGAAATAGTTTTTATAATGAGGTTTTCCTAATGTCGATTCAGTTGGTTCACATAGCTTATTGCTGTGTGGGAGCAAATAGTTAAGCATCAACTTATAATATTCTGGACTCTTTAAATAAGGAGAAGAGAATAAGGCTGGTTAATGACATTGAAAAATTTTGAAGTAAGAGAAAAAAAATGAAGCTTCCTAAAGTGCCTTCCCCTTATTTTTGTAAATTTAGGCTTTCTAGAAAAAAAAGTATTTTCTCACTTCTTGTATTCTTTGGTTTAATCTCTAAGTCCCTATTTCTTAGGTATAATAATATATTCTCCCGTTGGAGTGCTAGATGCTTTCAGATTGACTTTAGCTATAGAGCAAGCTTTGTTTATGTTGCCAAAGTCCTGATTTAACTGCTCACTCCCAACAGACTAGTCTATAGATGTAGTATTTTTTGAACTCTTTGTTTTTTTTTAGATTAAGATAATCAGACAGTTGCAAATTGTTCTCCATCACTGTGGCATAGCCTTCATATATCTTTAAAAGAGGGATTTGGAGAGTACTCTCCTGTTTTGCCGTAGAGTTCAAAAGATCAGACTTATTCTGATTTTTTTTGCCATAAAAGTGTCTTGCAGTTATCCTGAAGAGCAGTCAAATGCTGAAATAAATCTTTGATCTCCAATTGACAAAGATATGATTTGTAAGCAAGTCATACAAAGTTTCAGACTGTTACATGCTCTTACTATGGCAAACCATCATTTAAGAAATAGTAGTTTTGGCTTAAAAAGTTAATTACAGGATCTTTGAACTTCCTTTTTAATAGTTTGGACCTTACTCAGAAAAATGTGAAGTCACCACAGCACCTGGACCTCCTGATCAGTGCAGACCGCCGCAAGTGACGTGCAGATCTGCTGCCTGTGCCCAGGTGTCTTGGGAGGTGAGAAGGCAACGTCACCCTTAGCTCGACATGCTCGGCTTTTAAACTAGGTCCAAATTCAAAAGCTTTGCACTGTGTCTTAATCAAAATTTTTTAATGTGCTTACCTTATTTGACTGTAGAGGTTCATACATCATACCAATGTATGGCTGCTGTAACCCAGTAATCTACAGATACTTGGGTTCTCCCTCTTTTCCTCTCCCTCTTTCTCCCTTTTTTGCTCTCCCTCTCTCTCCCTCTTTTCCTCTCCCTCCCTTTGCCTCGCTCTCCCTCCCTCTTAGTTTTCCCATGACACTGCACTGTATTTCTGAGTGATGCATATCTATCTCCAAGTTTTTCTCTAAAGTAATTGTGTCTCTTTACAGTAAATCCATCCACATAAGACTGGATTGTTCTACATTTGCTGGTTTTTTTAATAAGCTGATTTGGTTTTATATAATTACACCAGTAATAATGTAGCAAAAGCCCAACAGACTTCCTAAAAAAACATTGTATTTAGTTATCTGATTTAAAAAGAATGCAGGAGATAACAAAATAAGCTTGCAAAAAGGAGGATTCTGTCTGGAAATACTGTTCACGCACAACTTTTTAATTGCTTGAGACTGAGTGAAATGTCTGAATTGTAAGACAACACAAAGAAAAGGTTAATACATTTTACCTGGAAAGAAGAGCTCGGTGTGTCATAGCGGGGGTGTCAGAAGGTTCTTGCTAATTCTCTGAAAGGCAAACTCTTCTGAAGAAATCTCTTAAGATATTTTGCTAGATTCATTTCATTCATTTAGATACCTGCTCTATGAAATCACAGGGTAATTAAGATAGGGTTGGACCTCTGGGTGTCATTTAGCTCAACAGTCTGTTCAAAGCAGGACACATTTCAAATTTAGACCAGGTTGCTGAGGGCTGTGTCCAGCTGAGTTCTGTTTATGTCCAGGGAAGGAGGGTCCACGGCCTGTGTGAGCGTGTCGTGGTCCAGAGAAAGGCACCATTACTGTGTAGGATGGGAAGCCATGTAGCCAGTGTGCTTCAGGTTTGTCAACCATGCGCTTCAGACCCAGCCAGGGGAAACTTCCATGCAGTGAATCATCCTTTCTGAAAGGCCTCCTCGTTCCCTTGATTTTTAGTCTCCTAAGCTAAATGCCCCAAGTTGGTTGACCTCTGTGTTTAGCCAGCTGAAATCACGGTGGCTTATTTTATTTCAGTAAATACTGATTTTTAAACTAGAGGTCACTCAAGGCGAATAATGCCTTATTTGATATATGCATCAGAAGTCTGCAAAGAAAACAGAGGGTGGAATTCTTGGGGAATTTCTACAGCCTTCTGACACACCAGTATAAAAATTTTATCCCGTCTGTTGATTTATAGAAAAAAGCAATAGAGATGTGGTGAGTATGGTTGATTTTTAGCTATTGATTTACGTTCTAACGATTTGCGTGCATTTTGAAGGTTCCTCTTTGTAACGGAGCCGATGTCACGGAATATCGGCTGGAGTGGGGCGGCGTGGAAGGATGCATGCAGCTCTCCTACTGCGGGCCTGGCCTCAGCTGGGAAGTGAAGGGACTGTCACCTGCCACTATCTACTACTGCAGGGTCCAGGTGAGGAGGTGAACTTGCTGTCGAGGAGACCCCAGCGCGGGAATCGCGGCTGCCACGAAACCCAGGCTCTGCTTTGCTTCTGCAGGCAGCGAACGTCGCGGGCGCGGGCCCCTTCAGCGAGGTGGTGGCCTGCATGACTCCCGCCTCCGTTCCTGCAGTGGTGACCTGCCTCCGGGGGCTGAGTGAGGACGAAGTGGAAAATCCACATTATTCTCCTTCCACATGCCTTGCTATAAGCTGGGAAAAACCTTGTGACCACGGGTCTGAAATCCTTGGCTACAGCGTCGACTTTGGAGATAAGCAGCCAATAACCGTTGGGAAGGTTCTGAGCTATTTCATAGATGGTTTGCAACCAGATACAACGTACAGGTAGGCTGTGCTAAGGCTCCTGTGAGCCTCCTCTGCCTTCCACAGGGAAGATTATTGTTTGCTTTTTTGTTTGCTCTCTGCGTTCCTCAGAGAAGTACTGGGAAGTAACCACAGACCCACGGGAAGCTTTGTAATCATAGTCTTCCTGCTTAGATGAGTTGTGTTTCTTTATTTTCCTTACCTAAACAATTCAGTTTGGGTTGTTATTGTGATAGATATATTGTATCTCTCTTGTTCACGTGTGAATTTGCTAGCTGAATTCAGATTACAAATTCAAATACACATTTTCATGGTTGTTCCATAGATAGATAACTTCAAATCCATTTGACAGTTTGAAAATCCATTCAAGGAATGATCACATCAGCAGTCTTAATGGTGTGGATGTCTGCTCTAATGATAGTTCATCATACATTACATAGACATATCTGCAAAAATACTGTCTGTTTGGGTGACACTGAGCAGAAGGAACATATCAATCAGTTTGAAATCTCTTGAAAAGTTTTCTTACCAAAACATCCCTTATATCTGACATGAACGTTACTGAAAAATAGAAATGTAAAAATCATAACTCTGTATCTACACTTTCCACCTTCCTGTTACAAGGACAGGTCCTCTGTCCTTGGAGGGAAATGTCAGACCCACTGAAATCAGAATTTTAGGTCATACTGATTTCAGTATAACTAAGATATCAGCGGAGTATGTGTTTTCTGAATCCTTAATTTTAGAGATTTATTTTGCATCCTTTTTAAATGCTGTGTGTCAGACTGAAATGTTACTGTGCATTTCATACTTATTACAGTGCTGGCAATTTAAAGAGCTGTTGCTGTCAAGGTCAACAGATTTAAAAATGAGACAAAGACACTTAAACATTTCACTCATGGAAGTGCTTTTGTAGAACACAGTTTTAAGCTAGAGCTTCTTTGTGAAAAAAAGAAATCACATAAACCAACCTCTGTGCTATAAGAAATTAACGTAACGTTAAGTATTGTTGTATTGGAAAAAATACATTTATTTGTAAATCTGAGTATCTTCTTGTGTTTTGAAACCAGGCTTGTTGGCTGTTTTAGAGATTAAATTATTGTGATTCCTTTTTTCCCGTTACCAAGATACTGTTTTAAACAACCAAACCTTAACCTTTAATAAAGGGGCTTAGACACATTTTGCTAATCTGTGAAGTTGCCACTGAAATTTCTAAAGTATGCAAAGCAGCAATTATTCTCTGCTTTTACATTTTAAAAATTAATTTCTTGGCTACTTTTGTTGGCTCTTTTCCAAGCAGACCCAAGATGAGTTGTGTTTGCAGTGATGCCAGTGTTTTAGGAGTACTGGCTGGACATCAGCCCTTTATTTTCAGATGAATCAACTCTTTTCTAAAAAAGCCCTTAAAATTTTGCTGTAGTCTTCCTTAAACTCACCTGATAAAATGCCTAAGCTCCAGGTAAGAAGTACAAATCCCATGGTTCTTGGCCATTTTAAATTTTGATACAGGATCAGGAGAGTAGTCTTGAAGTAGCTGATGGAGCTATTGCATCTTGGTCCTGTTGTGAATGATGCAAATACATTAATGTGTTTTATTCTGAGCCAGTCCAGCTGCTTAAACTGTGGCAAGGGCAGTGACACGGCTGCATGCCCCTGGCAGCCTGTCGGAGCACAGTGTGAAGCAGCAGCTTCATCACTGAACGCACCGTGTATTCAGTCACTCTTATTCTCCCCTGAACGTGAACAGTGGAAGAAGCCCCATAGTTTTTAAACCGTCAAGTGAATGGACTTTTCTTTTTGATGTAACAGAATACGAATTCAAGCCCTCAACAGTCTCGGAGCGGGTCCTTTCAGCCCCACGATCAAACTGAAGACGAAGCCGCTGCCCCCGGAGCCGCCGCGCCTGGAATGCGCCGCGTCCAGCTCGCAGACGCTGAAGCTCAAGTGGGGCGAGGGGGCGGCGCGGGCGCTGCCGGACGCCGTGCAGTACCACCTGCAGATGGGCGACAGGAGCGGCAGGGGGGGCCCCGCGC